TATATAAATTAAATGCACAAAATTCATGTTACACAATTATTTACCAAAATTAATATCAAATATGAACAAAATGCATGTCAATTACACAATTAGTCTATCAAAATTCATATGAAATCATCCATTAATCTAACCAAAATCAATACCAATTAATCTAACCCAAAGTACATGTGATTTGGAGGTCACAAGATAAAAGTAGATGTGATTATGAGTTTGGGGTATTTTTCGGTGAATTTTTTGGAGCACATATGAATTTTTAATGAATTTCTAAATTTGGTCTAATTAAAATTTGACACATGGCGCCCTGATAGTGGACCACATTAAAAAGGAATGCAAGTTGAGAAGCACAGGATTCTAACTACAAACAAGAGTCATCTTCTTCTTCGACTGGTTGTGTCTGCAACTTAAGTGAAATTTTTTCAAAATCTTCTAAAATCTAAAACTTTGGTTGTGGAGGTCCAATTGACGAACCGTTTTCTCCTACGTGATCGTGAGATCGAGCTCAACAATCTAAGGTAAATATTCAGGATTTCACACAGCCGCAACAAAACAGCCTCTTTGAGGCTTTTAATCGAACACTTGGTGGGCACAAGCAAAGGGGCAATTCCTGCATCTCCAATGCATTTTCCGGCGAGAGGAGGTGCACCTGCACCTCCTTGCGCCTCTGTGGGTCCGCCACTGAGAGAGAACAACCTTTCTCTCCAAGAAAACAATGTAAGGATGCCACGTCTAACCTCTTAATCCATGTTATTAATATATATATATATAGCACTCAATAACCATCTAATGGCATCCCAAGAAATAATGAACAATTATATAATTTAACCCTTTTTATTCAAAAGAACACATGTATATATAAATATTTAATGAAATAATATACATATAACTATTGAAATGGTATTATAAACGTAAAACAATTATAAATATACATTTCCTTCTTACCAAGATAATTACTTAAGAATATATAATAACATTTATTTTTCTTTAATTAACATTTAAGAAACGAACTCTCACAGTTTGTGCCTGAGGTTCTTGGGAACATGAACATAACATATTGATCCAAACACCCTCAAATGACTCATAGATGGTTTTCTACCACCGTATGCATCAAATGGTGTCAAATCCTTCACAGCTTTAGTAGGACAACGATTCAATAAATACACAGCTGTATAAGCTGCTTCTCCCCAAAACACATAGGGTAGTCCCTTCTCATGTAACACATAGGCTATTCTCTTCTTCCTCTCTGCTACTCCATTTTGTTATGAAGTATAAGCTGGAGTTAGTTGCCTCTCAAGTATTCTCACAAAAATTTCTAAACTCATTTGAAGTGTGCACACCACCTCTATCACTCAGAGTTTTGATTTTCAAACCTCTTTGATTCTCCACCATCGCCTTAAACTTCTTGAAAACGGAGAACACCTCTGATTTTTGCCTTAGGAAATATATCCATGTCATTCTTGAAAAATCATCTACAAAAATCAAAAGTATCTATTACCTCCATGGGTGGCGGTCTTCATTGGTCCACACACATCCGAGTGGATGAGCTCCAAAGGCTTAGATGCTCTCCATGCTCCTTCACTTGGAAATGAGTCTTGATGTTGGTTCCCCTTCGCACACCCTTCACATGCTTCTTTTGCTTCTTGGATTGAGGGTAAACCAATCACCATATCGTGTTGCTGAAGAATTTTCAGACTTTGGAAAGTGAGATGCCCCATCCTTTTATGCCTCAATCAAGATGGTTCAACTGCATCCACCTTCATTGCAACCTAATTAGAATAATTCATTTGAAGTCGAAAGCTTCTATTTCCTTTCCTTCCAACCCTTGCAATAACCTGACTTTTGTCCTCTTTATCAAATATGTCACAGAAGTCGTCTCGAAAGTACACATGAGATGACCATTCTCATTCAGTTGGCCAATACTTAGCAAATTTTGATCAAGATCCGGAACAAGCATCACATCCCTGATGAATCTTCTTCATTCCCTTCTTTGTTTCAATTGCTACCGTGCCCATTCCAATCACATCTACCCACAATTCAACTCCCGTCTTCTTTTACTCATCAAAGTCAAAACACAGGTTCTTGTTGCTTGTCACGTAATTACTACAACCATTATAAAAAAAAACCACACATTATCTTCTTTCTTCTCAATTGTAGCTGTCTGGCACGCATAGAAAAGGTTGCCTTCATTGCTTTTCTTTTCAAAAACTCCATTAATCATTTCCTTTTTCGATTTTGTTTTATTTGCAGCAAGATATCAACAACAGGACAAAACCAAATCAAGATAGACAGTTGCAGGCAGAGCAATGCAAGAACGGACGAACCTGTCAAAGCGAAGTTTGTGCCTTAAACCAGGGACTAAGGACCATAGGACTTATTGGCCGCCTTTGTATTGTCCACTAGGCCATTAAATCTATGGCCAAGACCTTGGTTGGATCCAATTCCATAAAACCTTGAATGCTACAGAATAGTAGAAGCAAAAGTGGAAATGTCAGCCAGTGGATTTACAGAAAACAAAGCAAATTAAGGAAAACAAGTTATATTATGTTTAAGTTTCAATGTTTCATGTTGTCTACTAAATATCATACAATACAGAGCTATTAGCTATTTTCATGCCTTGTCTGGGCGATCAAATAGAGAAATTGAGGGAGTACCTTTGAGTTTAAAGTTCACAATTAAAGATCTAATTTTTGCCTCAATTCCTCCAAAGCCAAAGCATAAATTAGGGTTCCATGCTGGAGAGAGAGGACAGAGAAAGAATCATATGACCTCGTTTAAGGAGTTGATTGACAAAAGGAATGGGCCCAATGTTAAGATTTAACATCCAAGCACTATGGCCCCAATAGAAAAAAGGGCTATTCTCTGGTGGGAACTTCTTTTTGCAAACTTCTTCTTGAGAACACCGTTGGATCAAATCTAACGGCTGCTCAAAAGCAATTGTAACTGAACATGTCTAAAACTGTTCCACTAGAACGCGCCCTCCTCCCTCCAAAACAGATGTATTGTGCTCTTGAAGACCACAATATCTCCCTCCAAAAAAAGTTTGTTCTCTTTGTCTGTTTGTGTCTCTCTTCGTCACTCTGTCAAAGAACCTGGTTTTCTTCTTTTTTCTGGTTTGATATTCTATTTCTGGAAAAACAGTGAACACATCTACCCCTCCAAAACAGCTGTTCATTTTTCTGGTTTGGTCATTCAAAGCATACAAAGCAAGGTATTATCTTGAAGAGCACATGTAGCACTGTATTTCTTATTTCTGTTTTTATTTTTCTGGTTTGATGATTGTGTTCTGCACTCTTGTGAAGCCTTGAGGACCCATCTAGTTACCAAAAAACTAGTGAGCGTGACACCTTGTTAGAATCGTTGAGCACAGTCGAAACTGGCGTTGACTTCGAATACTTGAGGATTTGAGACCCTCTGGTTCTAGAGTTGTCGGTTTAAAGTGTTGGAGCAAACGGGAAACTAGAGTTGAGTTTGAATCGTTGAGGAGAGGAAGGTTGAATTTTTTGGGGTAGATGTTCCGCTCTAAATGGACGACATTATTATATTTGTTGAAATTTCAAAACTCAAAATCAGTTACAAGGTAAGCGATATCCTGTGTTTGTTAATTTCAATATACTTGAAAAAATGTTTTGACCAAGTATATTGTCATAATTTACGCTAGTTTAGATATAGGTTGTTTAAGGTTTCACTAAAGACTCCAAACGACCTCGTAGGTGTAGCATTTATATTCACTAATGGGTTCATAGATTATTTTGTTGCAGACTCCATTATTTAATAATGTTGCAAAGTCTATTTGATATTTGTGGAAAATTTGAAGATCAAAATCACTTATGAGGTAATTAATATCCTGTAATTGTTAATTTCAGTATCCTGGAGGAATTGTTTTTACCAAATATATTTGCATAATTTACGTTATTTTGGATGTCGGTTGTTTAATATTTCACTAGAAACTCCAAAAGGCTTCGTAGATATAGCACTTGTATTCACTAATGGTTCATAGCTTATTTCGTTTTAGACTTCATTATTTACTAATGTTTGATAGTCTATTTGATATTTGTTGAAATTTGGATATTTCTGTGTTTATAGTATTGTGGTTAATATACATTTGAATTCTCTTTAAACGCATGTGGCAATATTATTATGATGATGATATGATTTTCAAGGTTAAATTGCAAGAATTGTGAAATGGAGTCTGAAGCAAAGGTGAAACATGAAGTTAGTGTGGAGTTCAAACCAAAACTAGGACTTGAATTTGATTCCATTGAGGATGCGTTGAAGCTGTATGATCTGTATGCACTAAAAGCAGGATAATATTCACTGAGAAACTCTTTTGTATCATGGCATCATTGTGTATCATGCTTGTTGCATATTTCAGGCTGTCTATGAGGATTATGTATCATTATGGTTATCGTTATGCACCCTACAACACATATTCAACATCACTGTATCAAAACATTGTTTAGAAGATTGGATTTTCCGAAGAGCAAAGAAGAAGGCGGAGAAGATGAGGAGTTGGAGAGATTTGTGTGGGGTTTTAGGGATATATCTGGCACATGCCCCACCCTAAAAAATGTCAAAATAGTATCAGGAAAGTATCACAAAGGTATCATAAGGAAGGTTTCTGGTTTCGACAGAACAAGTGAGAAATGTCGAGAATGAGAACAGCACAAAGATGTTTTCTGGTTTTCTTTCTTGTTATTACTTTCTATTTCTCATGATACATTTATACAAGTGTTGCCTGACATTAATTACACAACTTCTACCTGGGATTCCTCCATGAAACAAGGTCTCCATTAGACAAGGAGAGAAAGTCTTCCATGAAACAAGTATTCCATGAGACAAG